ATGAAATTTTATTTTTCTTCTAATTTCTAGCCGTACATAATCTTTCTCAAACTCTTAATTTAAAATAAATTTATCCGTTATTAGGCTCTAAAAGATGTGAGAAAGGCCGAGCGGTCTAAGGCGCGGCGTTCAGGTCATAGTCCTCACTTGTGGGCGTGGGTTCGAATCCCACTTCTGACATTAATCTGAAATTTTGTTTTCCTTCTAATTTCTAGCCGTACATAATCTTTATCAAACTCTGTATTTAAAATAAAATTATATGTTTCTGGATTCTGGAAGAAGTCAGGATGGCCGAGCCTTCAAAGGCGCTGCGTTCAGGCCGCGCTCCACTCTTATGGGCGTGGGTTCGAATCCCACTTCTGACAGGAATATGAAATTTTATTTCCCTTCTAATTTCCAGCCGTACATAATCTTTCTCAAACTCTGCATAGAAATAAACTTATCTGTTTTGGGCAAGAAGTCAGGATAGCCGAACTGTCTAAGGTGCACCGTTAAAGTTGCACTCTACTCTTGTCTGCGTGAGTTCGAATCCCATTTCGTACGTGAATATAAACTTTTAACTTCAAGCCGTACATAATCTTTCTCAAACTCTGCATTTAAATTAAACTTATCAGTTTCGGGGCTCTGCAAAATTTCAGGATGGCCGAGACGTTTAAGGCGCTGCTTTCAGGTCAAAATATTTTCTTGAGGGAAAAGATTCGAATCTGATATGGATATGAAATTTTAATTTTTAGCGGTACTTGAACTTTCTCAAATTGCTTTTAAAATAAACTTATCTCCTTCGGGGCTCTACAAGAAGTTATTATGGCCGAGAAGTGTAAGGCGCTGCGTTCATGTCGCTGTCCACTCTTGTGGGCGTGGTTCGAATCCCACTTCTGACATGAATATGAAATTTTATTTTCCTTCTAATTTCCAGCCGTACATAATCTTTCTCAAACTCTGAAATGAAATAAACTTATCTGTTTCGGGCAAGATGTCAGGATAGCCGAGCTGTCTAAGGTGAACCGTTAAAGCTGCACTCGACTCTTGTGTGCGTGAGTTCGAATTCCATTTTTTACTTGAATATGAAATTTTATTTTCCTTCTAATTTCTAGCCGTACATAATCTTTCTGAAACTCTTAATTTGAAATAAACTTATCCGTTACATCGCTCTAAATGAAGTCAGAATGGCCGAGCGGTATAAGGCGCTGCGTTCAGGTTACTGTCCTCTCTTGTGGGCGTGGGTTCGAATCCCACTTCTGACATTAACCACTTAACTGAATAGTTTTCTTTGCTATCTAATAAGATGACCCCTTCTGTTTTGGAAAGAGGCTGTCGTTTTCATTCATCTAAGAAGGCATAGGATACTTAAGATGTTTATGGATCCTACATATTTTTTGTGTTAAATTATAAAGCTAATTAATGATTCAATTTTAGTTTATACGACTAAAATTTCGATAATTCGATGCACGAGTATTCTCGGGCTGTTAAGTTCAGCGATTAAAACAAAATTTTATTTTCATTCTAGACGTACATAATCTTTCTCAAACTCTGCATTTAAAATAAACTTATATCTTTTTGGATTCTACAAGAAGTCAGGATGGCCGTGCAGTCTAAGGCGCTACGTTCAGGTCGCAGCAAACTCTTGTGGGCGAGGGTTCGAATCCCTCTTCTAACATTAAAACAACATTTTATTTTCATTTTAGCCGTACATAATCTTTCTTAAAGTCTGAATTTAAACTACACTTATCGGTTTCGGATCACAGCACGATGTCAGGATCGACGAGCGGTCTAAGGCGCTGCGTTCTGGTCGCAGTCCACTCTTGTGGGCGTGGGTTCGAAACCCACTTCTGACATGACTGTGAAATTTTGTTTTCCTTCTAATTTCTAGCAGTGCATAATCTTTCCCAAACTCAGCATTTAAAATGATCTTATATGTTTCTGGATTCTACAAGAAGTCAGGATGGCCGAGCGGTCTAAGGCGCTGCGTTCAGGTCGCAGTCCATTCTTGTGGGCGTGGGTTCGAATCCCACTTCTGACATAAATATGAAATTTTATTTTCCTTCTAATTTCCAGCCTTACATTATCTTTCTCAAACTCTCTATTTAAAATAAACTTATCCGTTACTGGGCTCTAAAAGACATTAGAACGGCCGAGCTCTCTCAGGCGCTGCGTTCAGGTCGCAGTCCGCACTTGTGGGCGTGGGTTCGAATCCCACTTCTGACATGAATCTGAAATTTTGTTTTCCTTCTAATTTCTAGTTCTACATAATCTTTCTCAAACTCTGCATTTAAAATAAACTTATATGTTTCTGGATTCTACAAGAAGTCAGGATGGCCGAGCGGACTAAGGCGCTGCGTTCAGGTCGCAGTAAACTCTTGTGGGCGAGGGTTCGAATCCCTCTTCTAACATAAAAACAAAATTTTATTTTCATTTTAGCTGTACATAATCTTTCTTAAAGTCTGAATTTAAACTACACTTATCGTTTCTACTATTCGTTGTTGGGCCGCTTTGTTTGTTAATTATATATTTTGACTTTTTTAGATCCTTTGTACTTTTTTAACATTTGATGTTTTTAACTCTATTTAATTACTGACTTAGTGGACTTTCACTTGTAAGACCTGTTTTATTGCATTTTAACTGTGTCGGTCACTTGGTGGTATTTTATGATGTCTTATACTGTTTATATACTTTTTAATTTCCTTTCATTTTCGGCATTATTTTTGCATGTACTGCTCCTCATCTCTTTATACTGGGTGAGTATTATTGTTGTTGAATATTTTATTGCTATATTTTACTGTTTTTAATGCTTTTATATTGTCTACTGCTCTCCATCCACACTTATTCTGCAAACTTTTTAAACTTGTCTGTTTTGTTAGATTTTGTGATCTTATTTTTAATATTTTTAATAGAGACCGT